ACGGCGTGCATCGCACACGCCGAGCGAGACGGATACAGATAAACACCTACCGAGGATGCCAGGACTTCTTATCGAAATCTTTATACTACACATATACACCCACTTATCGCTCCCATCTCAGATAGCCCTACTCGCATGAAATCACAGAAAATGCATTTTATGCGGTGAAATTCCAAAACATGCATTTCGAGCCGAAAATGACCCGATCATGCATTTTCATGCAATATATGCATATTGCATGAAAGTTTCAGCTCTAATGATCAGTTTGCAGAATGAAGTGGCGGCCCCAGATAAATTTTCTGAATCGTTCCACCGCCGGAACGAGAGTGAGAGCCTCTTTCTCGATCTGCCCGTAATTTTGTTGAGCTTTCGTCAGCGACTTCGCCATGTGGAAAACCGCCTTCACGTTCCCATCAGCGTAACGCTGAAGCAGGACGCCCCCGATTCCGGTCGGGCTAGCGTCCGCCGCCACGATCAAGGTCTGCCGGGGGTCGTATTGAGCGAGAAGAAGAGGACCGCTCAGAATCTCCTTGATTCGCTCGAAGCAAGCATCGTGTTCTTCCGTCCAGATGAACTTCTGGTCGTCCCGGAGCAATTTTTCCAGCGGTGCCTTGAAGGAATGCAGTTGATGTAAGAAACCAACAGGCCGGGTCGAGGTATCACAAATCACAAACGACTTAGGTGTTTTTATTTATGGACAAAGCAGACGCGCGCTGAGATGTCTGTGCGCGTTACTTGGCGGGATGTTCGAGATCTCCCGACATCTCCCTCCTCACTGGTTATGGATATTGATTCCTTAAAATTACATATATATATATACATGGGGCTTCCTAAGAAGTTTCGATTCTGAAGTTATTGACATTTAGTAAGGGATAGTCGAGTCGTGTCACTCATTCGAAAACCTTTGTGGAGCTATGATGTTCCTGCCGCTCCTGGTCGTCACCGCGGCTGGTGCTGGGGTGTCCTGAACGGTTCTGTTCCCCTCTGTTGCCTGCTCCGACTCTCCTTCCTTACTGGACTCCCTCCGTTGAACTCTGGCCAGAACCTCTTTGTTCCGTCTCTTTAGTTTGGGAAATGGTACGCAGAACTTTAGCGTACTTTTCTCTCTTGGGGTATTTCGCTCATGACGCTGCGGTTTACTTGATGATTCCTGGATCGGTGCTTTCCTGAGAAGTCGCCTGTTACGAATGACGACGTTCCCATTCTCGCGACGTACTTCGTACGTCCTTCCATCCAGAATTTTAGTGACCCACGCCGGAGTCCAGTTTTTTTCGAAACTGAGAGGTTGAACTCGCACCCTGTCTCCGACCCGGAGTGGGGCTAGGTCCGACGCTCCCTTGTCATGCTGGGATTTCTGTGCTCTCCTCCTTTTAGCGATGTCCGCCACGACATTGCGGTGAACTCGCGGTATTAGAGCTTTTTTGCTGGTCGGAAGGGTGGACCGCGTGGTCCGGCATAGAAACTTCTGCGCTGGAGACAGTCCGTCTTTTTGTGGCGTGTTCCGCCACTCCAACATCGCCATTTCGGAGTCAGATTTCTCCAAAATTGTTTTCTTTACGAGCCGCTTCGCAACTTCCACGGCGGACTCCGCCTTCCCGTTGCTGGAGTGGAAGTGTGGCGAGCTACAAGAATGCTCGACCTTCCACTCATTTAAGAAGTTGCGAAATTCCGCGGAAAGGTATCTCGGATCGCTGTCCGTCCTGAATCGTCTTGGTCTCCCATACGTTGCGAAGAGTTTCTTGGTTACCTCGATGATCTGGCTGGTATTCGCCGTGGGGCCCACTCGAGTGACGTGGAAGTAGTCGCTATAACCATCAACTGTGACTACGTACTGTTGGTTATGCCACTCGAACAGGTCTTGATGAACTATTTCCCACGGGTGTTCTGGAATCTCTTCACTTATTAACTTTTCTTTCGGCTGTTTTGTGCTGAAGGTTTGACATGTTTGGCAAGCTTCCACCATCGTTTTGATGTCGTTTTTTATTCCCGGCCACATGATCACGCCTCGAGCTCGACGATACGTCGCATCGAAGCCCAAGTGAGACCTGTGACATCGCTGGATCATATCTTTCCTCAGGCTCCTCGGGATGTAGCATGCTTGCCCGACGAAAATGATGCTCTCATCGATCCGAAGCTCTTCCTTAAGTGATTTGAATGTCGCCAAGGATTCCTCGTTTTCTATCGGCTTTCCTTCTTTGATCATTTTTATGAGCTTGAGGCATTCATCGTCTTGTGTTGTGTGTCGACGAATTTCGTCGAGCACGGGGTCTGATATCGTTGTTCCTTCGTGAACTTGAACGGCCTCTATTCCCAATCTGTGTAGCGTTTCTTCCGTCGTGATCGCCGCGAAGTCTCGCAACGGTGCGCGGCTGAGAGTGTCGGCTATGACGTTGGATTTGCCTGGTATGTATTTGAGTTTTAGCTGATATCTTTGCAGCACAAGCCGCATCCTCTGTAGTCGCTTTGGGCATTGCTCCAATGACTTCTCAAAGATTCGCACTAAGGGTTTGTGGTCGGTCTCGATGGTGATGTCTTTCTTTCCATACAGAAGATGATCCCATCGGAGGCAGCTTGATACTATAGCGAGTGTCTCTTTCTCTATCGCTACGTATCCTTTGTCGGCTTCCGAAAGTGCGTGCGAGTGGTAGCAAACCGGTCTGTTGTCTTGTAGTAAGACGGCACCTACACCTAGATCGGAGCTGTCCGTCTGTATGGTCACGGGTTTCTTCACGTCGTAGTATGCCAGTGTGGGGGAGTTCGCGAGGCGTTGTTTGATTTCCTTGAACGCTCTCTCTTGTGTCTCCATCCACACGAACTTGTTTCCTTTCCTGATGATTTCTCGCAGCGGGGCCGTCAGTTCTGACAATTGCGGAATGAATGGCAGGTGGTAGTTTATCATTCCTAAGAATCTCTCAACAGCTTTGGTGTTCTCGGGCTGAGTCATTTCAAGGATGGCCCGAACCTTATTCGGATCGGAACGAACCCCTTGGTTTGAGATCACATGGCCCATGTAACGGACCTCCCTGAGACAAAGTTGTACTTTCTCTCGATTGAACTTTAAACCGACTTCCCTGGCTCTCTGCAGGAGCGCTCTCAAATTTCTGTCAAGATCTTCTTTGGCTTCTTCATCTGACTCGCCTACTCCGTAGATTAGAGTGTCATCTGCTATCACGAGGCATCCCTTGAGTCCGTCGTAGGCGGTTATCTGTCTTTGCTGATATTCCTCGCTTGCTGAGGAGATTCCTTGTGGCATTCGGAGGTACTTATACCTGCCGATCGGCGTCCAGAAACAGGTTAGGTCGGTACTTTCGCTGTGCAGTGGCAATTGGAAGAATCCATCTTTCGCGTCACATATGGTGAACCACTTAGCTTTCGCGAGCATTGGTAGGTGGTCCTCCAATGTGGGGATTGCATATCGCGGTCTCTGGATAGCTTTGTTGAGTTCTGATGGGTCCAATGTGATTCGTACGCTCCCGTCCGCTTTAGGGACCACGACGGAGTTCGAAATCCAATCTGTTGGGTAGTTGACCTTCTCAATTATTCCGTCTTTCTCCATCCGTCGTATTCTCTCGACGAATGCATCTTTTGTTGCCACTGCTGGCTTGCGTGGTGCTGCTTGCTTCGGTATGATTTCTGGATTGGTCTTGATCTTCACTGGCGGTCCTACACACCCTAGACCTTTGAAGACGTCATCAAATTCCTGAAGCATCTTGCTCGTATTTTGGGTCGTCGTCTCGATTTTGTATGTTTGCTGTACATCGTCGTGGAGTTTGATAATATTCATCTTCAAGCACGTCCGTCCAGAAAGCAAAGTGTCGACTTCTTCTTTGAGCACTTGGAATGGAATCAGGTGTTGCTTACGATCGTATTCGCATCTCAAAGTGCACTCTCCTAAGGACTTCATCTTGGTGTTGTTGTATGTCTTCAAGAGTGTAGAGCCTTTTTCGTCTAATCTCTTCGTTATTCCGCCTGCCTCCATAGCCTTGTGGTAGGTCTCGAGGCTCAAAGCGGAGATGGTGGCGCCTGAATCGATCTGAGCTCGCATACGGGATCCGTTTGGCATTTTCAGCAGAGCGAAGAACTTGCTCTTTGCCTGCAGGTGCTCCGAGATGGCGAAGATGTCATGATCATCGCCCTCGTCGTCCTCGCCTGCGGAGCTTTGCTGCGTGCTCCATTCTCGACTCTCTTGCTCTAACGGATATACTTGCTGCTGTTTTCCCGATTTGCACGCCAGTTCGAAGTGGTTCATCTTGCGACAGTTTTGGCAACGATGTCCGTACGCCGGGCATCGTCTGGGTTGATGCGAGCTGCCACAGAATTCACAGATGTGCTTGCTCGATGTTGCCTGAGAACTGGACGGCCAATTTCCACGCATGCTTGATGATTTTCTTCTCTGCCAGGGTCTCGTCTTTTGTCCAGATTGTCGTCTCGACGATGGCAGGACTTTTTCTTCTTCTGAATGCTGGCAGTTGCTCGTTGTTTGCTTCCGTTTGCTTCAATACGGCTATGACGTGTTCGATCTCCCAAATTTTCGATCGGTCTGCCTCAAAAACGATACGTCTCGCCGCCTCCATACAGGTTCCACTAATGAGTTGGTGCATGACAAGTTCCGACTCTGCTGTGAACTTGCATGGTTTCACTGCTTTATAGACGCGTCCTACGAATTCCGACACCGTCTCGCCCTCGCTCTGTTTGATTCTTGAGAACAGGTGGCGATGGAAGTGAACGTTTTCATGCGGTGCGAACGTCTGATCGAGCTTCTTTATGATTTCCTTGAGTGTTCGGCACGGTGACTCCGGATTCGCAACGTCATTGCTCAGGATTGCTCCGAGATTCAAGCTCCTCAATAACTGTCTATTGTGGTCGCCCAAGCAGGCACGGAATATGGCAACCTGCTTCTCCGGAGTCTCTTTGCATTGGTCCTCGACTAGGCCGTAGTCCGAGAATGCTTCTCGGAAATCTTTCCACGCTTCACTGTTGTCGGCACCCTGTACCGCACGGAATGGATCCGGCTGTCTATTCTTTCTTCGCTCGGCTGTCATTTTCTAGCCTGTAGATTTCGGTTCCACAATTATTTGCTGCTTCTTCGCACACCTCTTTTTTTTTCTTGGTTCTAAGTTTTCGACTGCGCCATGTAAGAAACCAACAGGCCGGGTCGAGGCATCACAAACGACTTACGTGTTTTTATTTATGGACAAAGCAGACGCGCGCTGAGATGTCTGTGCGCGTTACTTGGCGGGATGTTCGAGATCTCCCGACAGTTGACGTATGAATTTCCCGTAGTAATTGACTAACCCGAGGAGCGACCGAACTTCTTTCTTGGAAATAGGTGTAGCCAATGCCTGAATCGCCGAGATCCGCTTCGGATCCGCCTCGATACCCCTTTCTGACACGATCAGACCCAGATACTTGACTTTCGACTGAGCAACTGTGCACTTCTCTAGTCTTAAATGGAATCCCCACTCTTGGAGACGCTGCAAAACAGCCAGAAGACGCTGTCGATGCGAGGTCGGATCTTGCGCCATGACAAGGATGTCATCAAGGTACACCAGGATACCTTCCAGTCCGGCAAGCGCTTGCTAGCCTTCTGGAAGATAGCGGGAGCAGTTTCGAGCCCGAACACTAGCCGCTTGTACTTGAACAGGCCACGATGTGTAGAAATCGTCGTATACGGCTGACTCTCCTCATCGAGCCGAAGTTGTAGATACGTATCGGCGAGATCGAGCTGGGAGAAGACTTTACTTCCGGAAAACTCCGACATGATTTCCTCCATGTTCGGTAGCGGATGGTTCAAATCTTTCAGGGCTGCATTCAAATCAGTAATCAGCACACACTCTCAGAGATCCATTCGGCTTTTCGATAACCACAATGGGTGTCGCCCGATTCGATTGCTCCACAGCCTCGATCGTTCCGTTGTTCAACAATCGACTGCGCCAAAGTTAAGTTCGTATGCGGCTAAGAAGGCTACACGGAGATGCGACTACACAGCTTAGCAATCAGTGATCAAGTGACGTGGCGTCTGCGCGCCCCGTCTATTTATTGAAACTCTCTTAGCAATAACGAAGCTGGGAATAGCGAGTCCACAGTCCCAACAAATGGCTAATCCTCGTCATAGTTAGAATTAAGGTCCGAGCCGATATCATTGTTTGAATCGGCAGGTCTTTCCCTCGATGTGCGCTCTTTGTTCTTTTCGGAGTATCTGATGAGCCTTGTGTCCAAGTACTCAAAGAACTCTTCCCTTTGTTTCTCGAGTCTTATTTTCAGCTCCATATTTCCTTTGGCTGAAATGTCAAGCTTTTTCTGCATTTTGCGTAGTTGTTCACGCAAATCATCACGTTCATTCTCTCTAAACCTGACGAGCTGAAGAGCTCTCTCGAGACGAGAGGACTTGTCGACAGGCTCTATCGGTTCCTCGATGGGAGGCTTGGTTTTGCCTGTTTTGGGTCTAATTGCTGCTTTGGTAATTGTTGAAGGTCAAGATTCGTAGCTCTGGTCAGGAGTAGAAGAGCAGCCCGTTCAGGAATACACAGAGATGCGATCTCACGAGAGGGAGATACCACAGTGAATTTTATTCGAAATCTTAGGTCTTTTATACCTAGGCAGGAGTCTAAGCTCCTCCTTACATGTCCTGATCCGTACATACATATACATAGGATAAGGCTACCCTGGTCTATCATAAGTAGCGTCCTAGAATGCTATTGGGTGTACCCAGCATGTGGGGTGCTAGCCCAATTTCGTACTACCTCAAGGGTATCATGCTAGAGTCGTAACTTCGGGGTATAACCCCGGTGACTCACGTATTTTACTACTGTCACGGGTATATGGCCCCGTGGGTTGGTATGAGTCATAGTCCTAGTACGGAACGAGGACTAGTAGTTTCCAGTTTCTACCTAAACCTCAACACCTCCCCTAACTGCTAAGTCCGAGTGTCTTCAGGATGAGGGAGCAGTCAGGCTCCGGGTACTATCCACTTTCAGCAGTCAGCTTCTGAGAGTATTGAAGCGATGAAACTTCCTGAATAAATTGAATCGTCGTCCGCTGCTCAATTCCGAATTCGTTTTTCGCATGTCCAAACGGTATGCGACAAGTCCGGTTAGGTGCGCAGTAGGCCTGTACACAGCCGTATTCTCGGCGCTCAGCGCCAGGGGGCAGTGCGGCAGGCTCCCGCCGGAGGGCGCTTGAGCACCACAAAGGTGCTACAAAGGTGCTTTGCTAAAGATAGAATTTCCATTGATTTTCCATTGAATTTCCATTGAATTTCCATTGGAGAGACAGGAATCACGGTCTCTGTGGATGAATATTATGGGTTCAGGGTTCTGCCTCCCCTCTCACAGAGAGTGGGAGTCCTGTGGTGTAATTTTGAATTTTTCATGGTTGAGCGGAGAGATCGAAATTCCGATAGGTCTAGGATTCCGTTAGATTTTAGTCGTTGGAGTCCGTTGAAAGAACTGCGTCGTTCAGAAGCATCGCAGCCCTTTTCGATTTGTCCTCCGGAGCTTCATCAGCCAGAGTACCCCATGATCCTCCGTTCCGGTCGGAGCACCCGTGGCAATAGCAGGAATCGGAATATACGCTCTGTAAGTCGAAGACTACCATTGGAGAGCATGCCCGAAGTCAGCAGCAGTCAAACATGGTCAGAGTGGGGGCTG